GTTATATTGTTTGCACTCTATTGTTTATAATGAAGCTCAAAATCTGTTCCTTCAATCACTGTTACTTCATAATTATTTCTAAGCCCTTTTTTAAAATCTCAGGTGAAATATAAAAGTAAATGGCTGAAAAAATCCACGCTCAAAGATGATGTAAGTAGATTTGTAAAATAACTTGGTTTGATTTTTCAACTCTTTGTGTTCTTTTTTATTCATTTGTTTAATAATTTATTTTTAGATGTGTACAATATGTTTAGATGACTTTAAGAGTCGTGAGGAAATCAACATGTGCCGTTGTGGCCATGCTTACCATCATAAGTAAGTTCATGTTATTTATTTTTAAACAAATAAAACAGCTTTTTCCGTGCTCCGTTCCATAATAAAGCACGCAGGAAGTGACGTAAGCACAAGAGTAGTGTAAGGAGAGCTCTAGCTGTAGGCAAGTGCTTCTTACACTTCCAGGGTGCCTACGACACTTCCTTAGTGCTTTATTACTGAATGGAGCATGGAAAAAGCTATTTTATTCATTTTATTGTATAGTTACTAATTTTATTTCAGTATTGAATTTATTTATGCAAAAAGAAAGAAGGTCACAGAATCTAGCTGAACTTCACAGGTGCAGATGGCTTTAGCACTGTGCACCGTTCACAAATAAAGCACGCGTTTTCAACCAATCAGCACGTGTGTACTATCCTAACTATATAATGAGATGTGATGTAGAAATACACCTCTTTATCTTTGGGTAATATTATCCCATTTCAGACCATGTCATTCCCTAGAGTATCATTTCTTTGTTTAAGGTTTATGCTTAGTTTTCACATTAGAAGACACATGAATATGGATACAAATCAAATAAATAATCTTATTCTCAAGAGAATGACACACTGTTTCATCAATTTTTAAAGTATAACAATAATTATTATTTATTATTTTATTTTTTCTCAGATGTATTATGAAATGGTTGGAAATAAGAGAAACATGTCCTATTTGTCAGCATAATGTGCAAACAAATACAAGGTCAAGTGAGAGAACTCCTCTTCTGGGCGCTTCTAATGTTGATGTATAAATGAATTAATATACTAATATATTATTAATGGACTGCAAAATATATTTGAGGATATTTTTAGGGACTTTAAATAAGTGACTGTAAAATCGGTGACCTTTCTCTTTGATTGGCTTGTTGGATTGATGGTGTGGATGGATATATACCATGGTTGTGGCAGTACCAGCACTGTGACTGTAAAATCAGTGACCTTTCTCTGATTGGTTTGTTGGGTTGATGATATGGATGGACATACCATGGTTATGGCAGTACCAGCACTGTGACTGGAAAATTAGTTACCTTTCTCTGTGATTGGTTCGTTGGGTTGATGGTATGGATGGACATACCATGATTATGGCAGTACCAGCATTGTGACTGGAAAATCAGTTACCTTTCTCTGTGATTGGTTTGTTGGATTGATGGTATGGATGGATACCATGGTAGTATATACCAGCAAGAATTATTTTAGTCACGTTTTTATCACGTGGAGGAACAACCTTGTCCACGTGGTACAACATTGGCATCACGTGGTCGATTTGAAATGCACTTGCGATTAACATAACAGACGCTACGAAGGATAGTAGTACTTAGTACTGTTTCGCACTATGAGATATAGTCTTTGCAATCTAGCGATGCATTATATTAGCCGAGAGGACGTGAATGTAAATATTCAGAATTATAGACTTTTAATGCGTTTATATTTTAATCGATAAATCTAATCTATGAATAAAAATTAATTTTTAAATATTTGATGGATAAATCACTGAATAGAAACGTCTCTTCAGTCTCGCTTATAAACTAATGAAGGTGTTAGTATCGTTATCATGAGGTACATGTTGGTTTATGGGCGTGGTTTATCAATATTCAATGCACATTCCGCTGTGTAATATCTCTCTACCTTAGGCGTAATGATTTCAGACCACGTGTCATTCCCTAGAGTATAGTTCTTTTGTCTAACGGTTGCGTATGAGAAGAAACGTAAATATGGATACTGCCTCAAAGAATCTTATTTTCAAGGGAATAAGTCGTAGTCTGAAGCCTGAAGGTCTGAGATGAGGTTTATTCACTTTCTGGTTATTACCAATATTTTAGCCTTCTCTTCAAATAACGTAATTTCCATATAGAGAGTAAAGACTAATCCATACCACGCAGTATTTCTGCATGATCGAAACGCGCGCCCTGCGCTAGTACTGTATTCTATGGGGCATTTTCCCATTTCATTTTCATGTCAAGTTGACACAAACAAATTAAAAAATACTGTTAAAACTACGCTATCGTTTGCTTTTTTGGCAATGATTGGTTACCTCTTCAAAGGATTGATTCATTATATCGACTTGCGCCGAAAACGTTTAAGCGTCTTTTACATGGCATTCGTGATATAGTTTTTAACTCAAGAACCTTGTACACAGCTGTTGATTGAGGAGGACTGATTCCCTAGACATCGTAAATAGCAACCATATTGAATTTATTTTTCAGTGCTGCTATACTATATTAAGCTCCACTACAACTGTATTTACACACTTTGTAAAATGAAATGTGAATAAACCTGTTTTGTTAAAACTGTACTTATTCTTAGAATTATTTCTCAGTTCCCTCGAGTTAATTTAAAACGATTTCGGATCGTTCCTCTAACATGTTTTTTACATTATTACTTCCTCTGTCTACGAGTTTATTTTTAACTCCCTCACGGCTAGGGCGGTTGGTTGAGAATCGCCCTCTCGTGTGGGAGGTTATGATCCTAAAATAACTGAGGAAATAGAGCTGTAAAACAGAAAAAATACGCCATTAAAATTGGTAGTCCTGTCTCTCTGTGTGGGATACAGAAAATAGACGCAACCGAGTTTGAGCTCATGATAATACACCCCTTTCTTTCCAGATCACGTGTCATTCTCTTGAGAATAAGATTTTTTGTTTAAGTTGTATGGAATGGTTGCATGGGAATCAGTGTTTATTAGGGACGGTCATTATATCATGGGGTGGGGGAGGATGGGGAGGGGTATCATGATTTATGGGAGGATCACATGATTTTTTAGACTACTGGAGGGAGGAATCAGCTATTTATTTACAGGTATCAAGGGGATCATGCAAAGATGAGGAAGAAGCAACCACTGTTAAGTGGGGCTTATAAAACTGAATGTAATGCCCTGTGGGAGATCTGTTAATCTTAACGATATCGCAGCAAAAATCCTTCGATCCCTAGGAGAGAAAAAAATGGCGGTCCCTTGCTTAAACCGGCAGAAGATTCAAGATCAGTAGTCAAAAATAAGTCAGGACTAAAATACCCCAAAAAATTCTAAACTTTCAACTAAAACAAAAACATTAATAAGCGTTAATACGTTTTAATTGATTATTTTCCATTCATCGCCTCGCTGCTCCTTCACAAATTATTCTATGCATGGCGCCGTTGAAAATTGAGTTGAAAGGATTACTGTAAGTTGTGCTTTGTCGTCTTGATCATACTACTTTGTTCTTGCCGGAATCCGGTATAATTATGATTCATTGTGAAAAAAAAATTGGAATAAAAAGTCTCAAAAAGAGGTACTTATTTTGGACATCCTTTTGAACGTGTGAGTTCAGAAACAGGTCCATTCATATATGCGTTCATTATGCGTTCATTCATTCAGAAGTTCCCAGATCTCTACAGGATATCCCCATTATAAAACGGTGGCCTGATAATTAAATTTGAATCATTTGAGACGAGCTAATAGCCAGTAGTGAACCTAATTACAAGACTAGAAAAATCATTTTTGACATAATGGTATAAGGATTGACCCACTGATGTCATCGGTGAACTCTAAGTGCACACGATTCGTCGATGGATGGAACAAACAGATTGCCTTGGAGCTGGTATACGTATGTAACTGTATATAACACGCAGTCGCCTACTACGAACAGCTACTAGAAGACGACCTTCGGTATCTTCCAGCAGAGGTAAGAAAATCTATCTTTTCCTTCGGTTATAATTCTTGCAGTGTCCAGCAGAACTGAATTTCAATTTTTGTTCCTGCCTTCTGTAAAGTCTGTTTGGTTTTTTGGTGTATGCTTGACAGTAGGTTATTGTTTTGGCATGCTGAGTTCTAATGGTCTGTTTTCTGCAGGGATTGAAATCCTGTTCATAGGCAATCGTTTGTTAGTTTTTCTGTTGCATCAGTAGAGAGAAAAAGAAAGACAATGTGAACTCCTATCAATCTTACAAAGTGTTCTATCTTGTATTACAATCAAACACAACAGTTTTTTGGTTTATACAGCAAACAGATTCTTATACATATAAAATTGTTTCTAGGAAAAAGAAACAAAAATCTCTGACCTTCACAACCTCCATACCTCAGTGCTATCGGCAGACAAAGAATTCCTAAGCTTCGAAATATTTTTAGTTTTCTCGTTGATAAACTAAGTTTAAGAGGATATTCTTCTAAAAGGTAGTAACAAAAAAATCACCATCAGAATTTTGAGAAATCTCGGTTTAAATTGTGTATGAATATGAATGATTGAACCATTTTCGCGAACGAGAAAAATGTCAAGGTGTGTCTGATCGCTACGGAGATGGAATCTTTGACATCATGCATTGAATGCTTTTAAAAATCATCAAAAACCGAGAACATTAAACATTAACATTAACCCATTAGTAGCAAAGATTTAGACAAATTACTGTTAAATGAAAATAAGATGATAAAACTGTTTTCTGTGGATCTAATAGTATGTTTGCAGTCCCAGTCTCTCTCGGAAGGCAAGGCGTTTAAATAATCATGAATGCGGGTCTAGTCAAAGTCAGCCAGCTTCAAAAGATCACTTTTATTCTCAGGAGTATTAACCAGTTACTAACAGACTATCTAGAACTGCTTAGGGTCTCCTTGAACGCCGGGTTTTTTGTGTGTGTGTGTGTGTTTTTTTTTTTTGAGATATTTATGTAAGATATTTTAGTAGTTGAGCCTGCAGTCCTATTGTTCGCCGGCGAGGGGACCGGGTCAATTCAATGAAAAACTATCCCTTGTACGTCAGATTTGAAAATTTACTGTAAGGCACCCTCGATTCAGAGATTCAGAACAGTTTTTTTTTTTTTTTTTTTTTTTTTTCACTGAGTACACTGCTGATATCGCAAACGAAGATATAAAGGAATTCCACTGAATTCTCTGTTTGAGTTTGCCGGAGTAGAGGTCGTTCCAGTATTTGATACATCCTCGTACCCAGATAAATTCTGTGTGGGGTTTGATAAAATTGGGACGATTTTTTGAGACATCTATACGCAAGCCCAGCGTGCGTGCCTTCGTCATTGTACTTCAAAGTGCAAGGACTGAATATGTGTTGTCAAAACGCCAATCTCACGCCAAGAGGTTTCTCACAGAACAGTGATTACTAGCGGCGGACCCCTTTATTCTGTTTGAAGAAAATTTAAAACATTTTCCCGTCATAACAATTTTGGGTGCAGTTACTTTTCCTACCATTAAAACTGATCAACCGTAGCAAAACGTTCAATGTTGATTATTGACTGTACAAAGATTTCTGACTATTTTCTCATGATATATTCAGTGTGTAAGTAGCTTTGGTGGACGTGAGACTGGATTGGTTAATGACGCATATCAAGTGATACGCGTACGTAACCAAGCCCTTGTAGCCACTTGACTTGTGTTCAGTCTGCCACACAAGATAAAACTTGCTAACACTAGACGATTCTCTTTTCGTCACACCATTGAATTTCTACTGAAAAAAAATCATGTTAATAGTTGTTTATTATTGTCCCTTGCATTAGTACTTAAAGCCGGTATAACAGAATTCTATAATTTATAATTTCTTGATAAAGAGACTGTGATTTAGTCGTACATGGTAAATTGGACATGAGTGCTCATTGATCCAAAAAGACGTCACCTTTAAGTAGCCTTCATTTCAAAATCTTCTCAAGTGGGTCTCAATATCAGCTACATCTCAGTTGCAATGTTTCTGTCTCTAAGTTGTAAAAAACTGCTCAACAGGATAGTAGCAATAATGAAAAAAATAATAACAATTTCAGTTACGTGTAGCACCAGCACTTGTGTGCCGCTATTCAACTCTCTTTTCGCATGTAGGATGAGGAGCACAACATATGCTGTTTCCTCCAGGGATGCAGTATAATAATAAAGCAGAAAAGAGAATGATAACATTTGAGTTCAGGCAATAAAGTAATATCAAAGTTAGACTTTTGTAGATTTTGCAAGGTAACGGCAAGGACATGCAAACATGCCCTTACTTTCCTATGAATGATCTCAAAAATTGAGATCAGCAGTTTGTAAGTTCAGACTAAGTCAGTCCAAATATTTCCAGTGAGAAGGTAATAGAATCTATAACATGTCACACAAATTTAGTCAACGAGTTATCACGACCTCGTACGTCTGAAGTGATCAACCTGTAACACGTGTACAGAGTAGGGTCACTTGACATCAACACTTGCTTTTCACGCGGTCACACAACGCTCTCCTACCAAATGTCACATAACGCCAATTGCTAAACCACCCAATACAGTTATAATGAACTTGTTCATAGCGGCATACACCAGGCAGCCTTCACTATAAAAGATGTTGTATAATATATATTGGGAAGATACTAATACTAACGATAGAATTAAAAATTTCGTCTAATAAGCATGAGAAAACCCTCATCTCAAGACCGTGACTCCTCGTTCTGACCGTGACAGTGATACTTTTGAACAAGCATAGTTGACTAGTACTATTGAGTAAACGATGCATACATTCGATTATGTCTCAGAAGCGTTGATCCATATACCACTTTTAGTGCCAAATCTCTGACATTGATTTTTAAGTTTTTCATATAGGTGTGTACCAATAGTGTGTATGGGAGGATGGGTGGGGAAAGTATTCGCTTTATTCGGTACTGTGGGAATCTCCCAATGAATATGGTATCATTTTTCGTCCGATTGAATCTAGTGCCCTTATTCTTCAGATGAAATCCTTATTCTATAAATCTTCCTAGAGTAGTTTCGTTAGTTGACCAAAAAGTCTCAAACAACATCTTGCGTTTACAACTCTGATTTAATCTTTTTTATATGTACTACGAGAAAATCTAATACAGATCGATAGGCCCGATAGACCACTCGTGGGTACCGGGGGAGAGAAATTCCTGAACACTTGACACCTAAATTTTAATCACATTCTGAATTAATCACTAGTAATGACATTCACTCTGTTCCAACACGAAACTATGCCAACATGAGGCTGACACTAACAAACCTCCTTCCAAGCAGCAAAACTTAGACTACCAGACATTGTTATGTCATATTTTACAGTGGTCTGCACTGTATCTGAACTGAACTGTCTATGAGTGTCACTTGTGAGGATGGCCGGACAGACGTCGGGCCAGGAAATCTCTCCATTCCAGCAAACAACACCCTACTTGTAAGTGAATATTAATTAAAATACCCAAGCGAAAGATATGTGAAATAATTGTATATTTAATCAATGGCATGTCAATCTATTGCCTTCCGGTGTTGAAATGTGCTAACTTTGTGGTATTTAAAAAGTGTTTTTGAGCAGGTTTTTTGTGTGATGATTGTTCCCTGTATTTGAACATGGCTAAACCAAATACTTCCTAAAGCTCAACAAATCATTCCTTTACTCTTCAGCTGCAAACTTGATCAGCGGTATCAGAAATCATAAGACAGCTATCTAGTCATGCGCATAGATAGTTAATACCTGATATTCACGGGGCACTATGTAGAGTATACTTGTGATCTCAGTTATTTTATCAATATATTCAGTTCTATGCATTATTGGAAGTGGTTGTAGGAAATCTTGGGAAACTTGCTTTTCTCCAGTTTTAGCCAGATTGTGTGCATCTTCCTTCACTCAAAATGTCTGTGCACAATACGAGACCTTTCGCTTGAGTGGGAACACATCAAGCCCAATATCAACTTGAAAAGGCATTGTTTCGTTAAGGTCTATCGAGGAGGAAGAGTCTGCTATCCTAAGTATTTGATTCTAGCAAGAAGAAAAATATTTTCATTCTAAAAGATTAAAAATTTAAAGTGCAGATGGAGAACTAAAAGACATTTTATTTCATTAAGATATTGATTTCGTGGCGTGAATATAAATGACACGCAAAAATCAGAAGAAATAGTTACAAGCTTCGATTCTCGTAAATCGAGGATGTATTTGTAATAGTGGTTTCTCAGATATGCAAGGTTCGTTGATTAATGTGAATTAGTGGTAGGATATAGGTTGATCGACGTCACAGTCTAACCTTGTGATGGCCAGCATCCCACTAGGAAATCCGTACAATATGAGCACAGGATATGTGTTATATATAAATTATATAATTGATTATTTAAAAATATGACTACAATACTTCCTTATCATGACTGCTTCAGCGTGAAGAACGAGCAGACACATGAATTTCTTGACCGAACGGAAATAATGATAATAATAATAATACACCTTTTGC